TGACCTGCCCTGAAGTCTGACACTTAACCGACTAAGTTAAGGCACCCCTTAATTACTAACTTTAGGCATCCCTAAAATTACATTTTATAGAAGATCCAAGTTCCCCGTGGTTATCAGACTGTATTCACCCCAATTCCAATATACCTTCATGAGTGGGAGAGAAGGACAGAATGATGGCATCACCCAGCAAATTGTGCAGCACCCCAGGGATGTCCACGGGGGTACATCACACAGTTAACCTCTTCCACGACATAAGTTAATACAGGAGAAAAAGTCTGGGAACAGATGCCTTGAGGAATAATAACATATCAATGGTGACAGGTCAATTACAAACAAGAACATTTTCTTTTTTTTTTTTGATTTTTTCTTTTTTTAATGTTTTATTTATTTTTAAGAGGGGGGGGAGAGAGAGAGAGAGAGAGAGAGAGAGAGAGAGAGAAAGAGAGAGAGAATGAGTGGGGGAGGGGCAGAGAAAGGGGGAGAAACCGATTCTGAAGCAGGATCCAGGCTCTGAGCTGTCAGCACAGGGCCCGATGTGGGGCTCAAACTCACGAACGGTGAGATCATAACCTGAGCCAAAGTTGGACGCTTAACTGACTGAGCCACCCAGTTGCCGCAAACAAGGACATTTTCTATTTGATGTACTCAAAACCAGGCCTACTCTAATAGACTGACCTCAAGGTAAAAGTCTATGTTATTCTTCCATCCAGTGAGTAAATCACCCAGTACCTATGTTAAATATTTAGCAGTTTCAATCCATTAAATATAGATATGTTACATACACATTAAATACTCAGACAGAACACATAAAACAAGACCAAGGGAAAAGCCTATCAAATATGTGCTTCCTAACCATCTCTTATTCATGACTCTAGGGTTATTACCTAGCTTGAAAGGGAATCTCCTCTCTAATGTTGGGAGATCCTGATATTTGATCAATAGCTGGAACCAACATACTGACTTTTTTCTTCCTGATACTAAAGTTTTCTTGTGTTTCTTTATTCAAATTCACCATGATTCTAAGAAAGGTAATAACAAATCAGTCATTTGACCCCAAAGAGTCAAATTATTACTATTCTGTAATACACAAAGTGACTTGTGGAACACAATCATATTTATAGCTTACCCAGGTTAACCAGTATTAATTTATGTGTATTTTAAAATAGTGAAATGTCTTCTCCCTCATTCAATTAAAATGAACTTCAGGGATTTACTCACTTTACACTTAACTGTCCTTCAATTCACTTCGAGCATATTAATATGATTTTTTGGAAGAGAAAATGGAATATTAAAGAAGGAACTTCTAAGCTTGTTACTCAAGAGTCTCTAAAATTGGTCCTTAATTAAGTTTTCCATCTATCTAAAACTTTGCCCATATACTTTATGTATTTGAGTCAAAATTTTTGAAAACATTCCAGGGTTCTCTATGTGTAAGAAACCATCCAGATGTTTTATAACTTTGAGCCTCTGTTAAGGCCATTTCACTCTGATCTGGAATATTCCTTGTCCTCTTTTCTGTCTGTCCAAATATAAATCACTGTTCAAGGCTCAGCTGACCATCCCAGTGCATCAGCCAAACTCTCTTTCCTGAATTCCTGGAAGCCTTTACTATTTTTACCACTGTTTGTCCTGTATCATTTCCTGACATGCCTTATTGTTCTCATATTCAACATGGTTGAGATCAGAATGGTTAAATAATTTCTCAGGCATTTTCCTCTTATCTTCACTGCTCTAGCTTGCTGACCTCAGGGCACGTAAGAAAGTCTTAAGAAAGGACTCAGATCAAGAATTCATTTGGAATTAGTTCCAGTTGGAAGTGATTTGAAACAAATCTCTGTAAAAGATGGAGCAGCGATTCCCAACTCACAGCCCTTGAACCCTGGTGGGAGGAGGGGACAGGGTCTGGAGAAGGGTGTGCAAGGAGTTGTTTTAAACTGTTATGTTTCATCCATGCATAAGAATATATACATAAATGTATATGTAGATATACAGACACACATCTCATATACACTCTATTGTTTTCAGTTATGGGTAGGTGCTCTAGATAAAAATAATCTGATAGTCTTTTTCATTTCCAGCTCTGCTTTTGGGACTAGTTATTCTCGGTCTTACCTCATAATTATATGCCATGATGTACAGTCATTTGTTATTATCAAATTTTATTATTTTAACAGAGGGACTTACAGAATCTTTTAAAATTGTAACGGGGTTCTCAGAGTTGAAATTTGGAAAGCACTCATCTAGAGGGACTTAGGACAATGCGATTCATTCATTAGGCTGTATACCCTCAGTTTTAGCTCTTCTTCTAACTAGTTGGCTTAATGTTTAATGGACAACATATTTGTTTTTGCAGAAAATCCTAAGTAATCTACCATGCTGAATTGTGCTCCAAAAAGAGTCAGTTAAAACTACCAAGAATCAGATCCAACTGGCACAGGGTGAAACTATCGTACTTGTCCTGGAGGAAGCTGGAATTATTGTTCCCAGTGTTAAAAGAATGAGAGGTAGGTAGCAGCTTCCAAAAAGGTCATGCTTATTCCAGATGCAGAGTGTCCTTAGGCTTCACTGAAATGGGCTGCAGCGCCATGAACTCTCACATATTCTTGTCTTTTATGGGATATTGGCCCAAGCTAAAGAACTTGGTGACAAGAACAGTCATGGAAGCTTTTCCTTCCTTTGTTAACTTGCACAGGGAAGAAGTACATTCATCTTGAGAGCATCTACTGCCCATGTAAGCTCTACATGCTAGGCATGAAACAACACCTTGCTGAAGAAAAAGTTTGGACTCTGAAACTGGTCAAATCATCAGAATTTATGATATCAGCTCCCGGTGTGTGCTTTTCTCTCATTCATAATCTTTCTATTACACTCTCCCTAAGAACTACTACTTAGGTACTTTAGATAAATCCCAAATTCAGAGCCAAGATTTTTCTATGGGACACATACAAATTGATAGCCTGGATTTTTTTTAAATGTCCAGAGGTTTGCCAATTCATTTAATTTATACTGTCTTATTTTTTTTATGTTTCATATTTATTTTTGAGAGACAGAGAGAGAGCACAAGCAAGGGAGGTGCAGAGAGAGAGAGCGGGACAGAGGATCCAAAGCAGGCTCCAGGCTCTGTGCTGACAGCAGTGAGGCCAACACAGGGCTCAAACCCACAAACTGTGAGATCACGACCTGAGCTGAAGTCACACACTCAACCGACTGAGCCACCCAGGTGCCCTTATACTTTCAATGATATATTTACTTAATTCATACCTCATTTTTAAAAACAGTCTCTTAACTGTTTAACACATTTAGCACATAATTTAACGCATTCATTCATTCCTACGTGCATTATTTACTGAGTGCATACTATGTGCTTCCCTGTTGCATTAAGTCCTGAGAATAAAATAAAAAATAATTTAATGTTTATTTATTTTTGAGAGAGAGAGAGAGAGAACATGAGTGGGAGACGGGCAGGGAGAATCCAAAGACAGTCTCCAGGCTCTGAGCTGTCAGCACCCAGCCCGATATGCAACTCATTAACTGCAAGATCATGACCTGAGCCACAATCAGATGCTTAACTGAGCCACCCAGGAGCCCCTAAAATAATGATTTAAACCAAATATGGTCCTTGACATGATGGGGAAGTTAAAATGCAATGGGAGAAAAAGACAGAAAAATCACAACAAATGTAAAATGCAACAGTGGCATCTGTTACAAAGGACAATTAAAAGGCAAATAAAAAATCTGCAAGAGGTGAAGTTGCTCTGGGCATGGGGCCAGGTGTGACGTTCTGAGGGAGCCACAGTGGAATCTGAAGATGGAAGAAGGGAAGGAGTTAATGAAATGAAGGGCAGGAAAAGCATTTCAAGCATAAGGAACAGTATGCTCCAGTGGCCCTTGGAGGAAGGGAGGAAGGTGAAGATGTGGAACAAATACTGTGAGTGCAGCTAAAGAGCAGGGAAAATGGGTCATATGGTGAGAGGTAGCTGGAGGGCAGACCACTTGCCTATACAGTGATAAATTCAGATATGGAAGAACAAGACACACTTTGCCAGCTATTCCTAGCAACCTTCCCAAACCAAGTCAACTCTTCTTCCTTCCAAGCTGAATTTTGTAGCAAATCAATACAATATCAAGATTCCACAGCATTTCAGAAACTGCTCAAATTAGAACAGTGGTTGACAGAGGAATAAAAATGGGTGCCAAGGGAACTGTGTTACCCATTGGAAGCATCAGTAGAGGCTGGTTTAGAAAGTGGTCTCTGGGTAAATTCCTAGCAGTGCTATTGCTGGGTCATAGGGTAGGTCTATTTTTAATTTTTTGAGGAACCTCCACACTGTTTTCCAGAGTGGCTGCACCAATTTGCATTCCCACCCCAATGTTTATAGCAGCACTCTCAACAATAGCCAAATTATGGAAAGAGCCTAAATGTCCATCAAGTGATGAATGGATAAAGAAATTGTGGTTTATATACACAATGGAGTACTACGTGGCAATGAGAAAGAATGAAATATGGCTGTTTGTAGCAACGTGTGATGCTAAGTGAAATAAGCCATACTGAGAAAGACAGATACCATATGTGTTCACTCTTAGGTGGATTCTGAGAAACTTAACAGAAACCCATGGGGGAGGGGAAGGAAAAAAAAAGAGGTTAGAGTGGGAGAGAGCCAAAGCATAAGAGACTCTTAAAAACAGAACAAACTGAGGGTTGATGGGGAGTGGGAGGGAGGAGGGGGTGGGTGATGTGTATAGAGGAGGGCACCTTTTGGGATGAGCACTGGGTGTTGTATGGAAACCAATTTGACAATAAATTTCATATATTGAAAAGAAAAAAAAAGAAAGTGGTCCCTGGTATTGCTTGGAGAATGCATTACTTTTCCCTCGAGCAATATCTTTGGTCTCAAGATTTCTTTACCTTTTTTTTTTTTTTCGATTGAACATCATGCTTAGCAAAACACGTGTTAGTTTAGTGACTTAATTTTTTTTTCCTTTCCAGGATAAATACTCACCTATAACACTAAGCTCTGCGCTGGAAAAGATAACTCCGTGTTTATTCTCGGCCACACACTGATACATGCCAGCATCTGAGAGGTTCACTACTGTTATGTTGAGCATTCCTTGCTCAATTTGAATTCTATCCTGTGAAAGAAAAGAGGAACACAAAACAATGACCTTCTCAACTGAGACCTTAAGGCAATTTTGCTACATGTTATATCAAAGGGGCTTAATGAGAAGAAAATAGCCATCATATAAGCAATTTACATTACATGATCTATTTATCTGTCAACTAAATTTGTGGCAGGTCAGATGCTAAATGGAACAACCTTGTACATCAGTTGGTAAATGGAATTTAAATTGTAGGACTCTCTGGAGTTCTCATTGATTCAATAGTGAAACCATTCAGATTAATATCCTCTCTAAAATAGATGAACTTGAAATTTAAAATGCTTTTGTACTCTCAGGCTTTGTGCTGACTGGGGGGTGGGGTGGGGTGGGGAGGAGGGTAGGGAATACAACCATATTTACTGTTCAGAGTATTAAAACATTCAGATTATGAGGAGGCAGCACTTTGAAGGTTAAGAGAATTGTAATCTATATATTATAGATTATAGAAGCAGAGACAAATATTTAATATTGGTTGATGTCAGTGGCATAATCTAAGCTTAGGACCATCTTCTGGAGGCCAATTGGAAGAAAGAAGAGTTAGTGTACTGAACAAAAGACCATTCTCATTTGTCAGCCTGAGGATACCTAATTTGAATTATCAATTTTTGTAAGTCCCAAAAAGGATCTCCTCCTCCCCAGGAACCTGCCATTTAAAAAATATAAGATAAAAAGAAGTACTGGTTTTCTATTGGCCGCAGGGTTGCAATTTAGCAGGGTAGACACCTTATTAGGCTCTGATCAAATCTAGGTACCCATGTTCCCTCACGTTAAATAAAATTGAGGAAAATGCTGGTTATCTGGGTACCTACACTTTAGTGGTTTGAGTTTGGCTTTTATAATTGGGAGAGTCATGGAGTCAGCAGGAGCTCTTCCAGGGACAGGAGAGGAGTATGTGACAGGGCGACAGTCCCCTTTCTGCTTTGTGTGCACTGATGACCCACCGTTGCTCACAGCAGGCACTCTTCACTGGGCCGCCTACGGTGGAGGAAATCTGAGTATGAAAACCTGCCTCTTAACTTGGGGCCTGAGTAAAATGTCAAATTTCAGGAACATTTGAGTTCAGTAGGAAAATACCACAGGAAAAGTTTAAATTGGACACAATTGTTCCTCATTCTTATTAAGGCCCTCCTCATCCTCCCCTTGCTTCATTCCTAGTTCTTTGTCGTCAGGGTCTGCTCCCTTAGATGAGCATTCCTGTATTATGTCAATGTCTCCTCTCTCATAGGAGATTCTCATAATACTTTCCAGATGCTCTTTCAGAACCAAGGTATTTACTCTTTAAGCTGCTAAGTTTGATGACTGCTCACAGCTGGGTCCCTCTCTCTGGGTAATGCTTTTGGCAGAAAGAACTTCCCAAATTCAATGCCTGGTTGGTGCAGTGGTACAAACCGCATCCCCCCCCCACCAACCTTTGCCTCTAACTTGGGAACCTCTGAAGGGCCTTCTGCTCCATAGCTCCCCCTGTAGGCTTATATTGAAACTGCACCACTGTTTAACCTCTGCCCAGTCTGGCTTCTCTGACTCCTTCATAGGTGAGGCTCTGAGAGCTTTCCCAGCATACCTCCTGAACACAAATGTCTGCCTAAGAGTCTGTTTTTAGAAAACACAAAGAAAGACAGTGACTACTGAAGTATTTATTTTCAAAGAGCATTTGGACTTTTCTTCCCTTTGGGCCATATTCCCTCCCCCTCCTTTTCCTTAAGTCTTATTTTCCATATAACCAATTCTGAAAACCTTATTCAGGCAAACTTTGGTAGTTAGTTCTGAATCCAGGAGACCTTCAATATTTGAATCCTGGCTCTATTACTTACTAAAGATGGATATGACCTTAGGCAAACTGCTCTGACCTCAGGCAAACAAGGCAGGTTCCTTGTCTGTAAATTGGGCATAGCAATAGTACTTACCTCATAAGGTTCCTTGTGAATACCAGATGAGGCAATGTGTTTGAAGTGGCAGGATAGGTTAGCACTTGTTAAATGTTTGAGAATCACACCTTCCAAATCCTTTTTAAACATTATTATAACCTATCATTTCCCCCTAACAAAATGAATAGTCTGCATAGAATTTTCATTTCAGGGGTTACATATTTCTAAAATTAACATTTTCTTCTTTTAAAGTCTATTTGTGGGGGGGGCCTGGGTGGCTCAGGTGGTTAAGCATACAGCTCTTTTATTTTTTTTTAATTTTTTTAATGCTTTTATTCTTGAGAGAGAGAGAGAGGGAGACAGAGTGCAAGTGGGGGAGGGGCAGAGAGAGAGGGAGACACAGAATCTGAAGCAGGCACCAGGCTCTGAGCTGTCAGCATGGAGCCCGATGTGGGGCTCAAACTCTAACCATGAGATCCTGACCTGAGCTGAAGTCGAATGCTCAACCAACTGAGCCACCCAGGCGCCCCAAGCATATAGCTTTTTTTTTTTTTTAAAGCATATAGCTTTTCATTTTAGCTCATGCTAGGAACTCACGGTTCATAAGCTCAAGCCCAGCATTCAGATGGAGCACTGTCAGCCCGGATCCTGCTTGGTATTCTTTCTCTCCCTCTCCCCCACTTGTGTTTTCTCTCTCAAAATAAATAAATAAACTTAAAAAAAATCAGTCTGCTTAACTTTTCAAAATATCTTGTTTATTTTCATAGACATAAGTTCTTTATTTAACTCTTTCAGCATCCTAAACAGACTCATTCCTATTTCTTTGTTAGACCATTCTATTGTTTGGTTCAAATTTCTAAAAAAATAACTTTTTGAAAATGTTTTGGAATATTGGCTTACAGGCTTATTTGTGAAAAGGAGTTATTTTTCTTTGTTTGTTTTTATTCCCATCAGCAGTTTTGTCGCTGTTCTACCTCATCCCCTGGGTCACCAGTCCAGAAGCAGATCTGCTCATGGATTCTGTGAGGTCCTGACCTGTGAGGACACTCAAATTACTGCAGCTCTCAGCCCAGAGCCAGTGGGAATCCTGGCCCAAGACTTTCCACCTGTCTTGCACCACTGTGTGTGATTGCTTCTTTCACCGGAGAGCAATAGGTGGGGAAGATCCACACCCCAAGCCCTTACTCCAAGGATATTGTATCCTGTCTCCAGAGAGGATTTTTGCTTTTTTATTTTTTTTATTTTTTTGAGAGAGGGCACAAATTAGTGAGGACCAGAGAGAGAGAGAGAGAGAGGGAGAGAGAAAGAGAGAGAGATACCTATGAGGGGCAGAAAGGGGAGAGAGGGAGAAAGAGAAGTGGGGCTCAACCACAGCAGGACTTGTGTTCACCCAATGCTGGGCTCGAACTCACAAACTATGAGATCATGATTTGAGCTGCAGTCCCAATACTTAACTGACTGAGCCACCCAGATGCCCTGGATTTTTGCTTTTTTAAAGCCAAGCTCTCAGGTACCACTGCCTTCCCTCAGGCCTACAGTCTAGTGCCTCCAGTCGCAGTAATCACTTTCAGTTTTTGTTCTATTTCTGTTGCATCAGAAATATTAATCTTGCATTTGCATATGTCATTACTACGTGTTTGGAGGCAGAATGGGTGTTTTGATGGTGATCTTATTGGACATCATGTTGTTGTCCAGAAGTCTCCACGAACAGAAGAGAATAACAAAACCACATTGAGAGGAGAATTTGTATGCTGGGAGGTCTTACTCTCTCTTATATAGAACACATACAAATTTGTTTCTTAGCACAGTTACATGTTCCAGACTTTCTGCATGACTTTCCAATTGTACAGCCAAAGATGTTAATTTATGAAAACCAAAGATTTTGTACAGAAGCTTAATTGAACAAGGCTGAAGAACTGGATGTATGGAGTTTCTATGTATCAACTGCATTCACTTCCACTTTTTCTGCTATTAACACTTGTTGCTTATTATTTTCTAAATAACTCATCATTTTCCTGTTTCCATAACAATGAGGTCACATGAAACATTACAGTCAATACTAAAATATGATTATCATCAGTTGGCTTACCCGAGTTAATAGTGGTTCACCATTTTTTAGCCACCTGTATGTAGGTTTGGGCCTTCCATTTGCTTTACATTCCCAAAAGACATTTTCTTCAATGGCCACATGTGTATCGTTTATTTCTTGAATCCAATTAGGTTGAGCTATAGCAGTTCAGAAAGCAAAGAAAAGATGTACATTCAGTATATGTTCAATCTATTTTTATCACATGAAATCGAAGGACAAAAGTAGGCTTGTAATAAAATCATTTTTCCAGGTGTTATGCATATTTCAAGGCTGGGTAAGAGTTCAGGGGTACTTTTAGAAGACAACCCACTCTATGTCCAACTCTGAATGTCCTGTTTTTGCAGCCCATGTGGCTGGTCTTTTAATTGCTAAAGGCAGAAAATAAAAGCAGCATTGCCATATGGCCAAATTAACTGTCCCTCTCCTCCAAGTAGCTATTTTTTACCATTTTTGTAGGAGAAATATCCCACACTGCCCCACCATTTCTGGCTGGGAGCATGTTTTCCTAGATACACACTATGTTTCCCAGATTGCTTTGCAATTGAAGGTAACCATGTGACTAAGTTCAAGCTCAGCGTACCTGTGTGAAAGTAGTGAGATCAACTTTCAAGTTGTTTACTGAAAGATACTTGCCCCGAAATCTCATTGCCCCATACCATTGATGGGGGAAAAAAAAAAAGTGACAACTGCAATAGTCTTGGGCTCAGAGATAGAAGCTACGAAGGATGAAAATGCAGACTTATCAGTCTTGGACTTTGAATAACCTTGTAGAGCAAAGTAGCCCCAGACTCACCAGCAGATTGTGGGGGAAATATGTGGGGAAGAAATAAACTTTTTTTAAGCCAATGTATTTTTGGGTCTCTCTATTAGAGCAGCTTAGTCTCTCGCTAACTAATACACTTCACTCCTACATACTATATATTTTGTGACTTCTTTCTCCTTCTAGACTACATCATTGTTTACTATTGACTTCTTTTATATTGATAGAATGTTATACACAAGAGTATGGCTCCAGAACCCCAAATCTCTGAATGAGTCCTGATTTTTACCAAAACTTTCATAGGAAATCATCTCTTGCCCACAGTCTACCACTGTGGAATTCAAGGTAGCCCACCATCCTACACCACTCCCACTACCCAAATTATGCCACCTTTCTCATGCTTCAGTTGAAATGCTTTTTTTCTCCTTGTTCTCAATAAAGACAATGTTAATTCCACATTCCATAAAATGTCATCATAAATACCAAGCTTTGCCTACAGCACAATTCATGCTATTGTTAACTGTAATGGCAAATGTACTTAAGTAGAAGACCTTTAGTCCAAAGTTCATGCAGAAGAGAACCACAGCTATCATTCTGGAATGTTTCCTTCTCACAGGACAATTTCTGTAGGGTAATGCCTACCAACAGAAACCTAATAGTTAGAATTGTTATCAGTATTTAATTAGAAGGTGCTACTCAATATTCTTAACATGTCTCTTGTCTGATTTGACCTCAGAATCTTCATTGAGTGAGGCTTCAAATCATCTATAATTTAATTCAAAAGGAAATTACTAGTGTTGAGGCTAAGCTGTCTATCTTACCTACTTACTAATAAACAAAACTAGAAAAACACTCAACAAGTCACTTTACCAGCAGAGGTCTCTAGGTCCTTGAATAAATATTGCTTTCTCCTTTTCCCATTTACAAACAAATGCATGTTTTTCAAGGAGCAAAACACAATTTTACAAATCTTCTACTGATGGGGATGATGCATTGTTGCATAGGAGGGGAGGCTGAAAGGGTCGATTTAAAAAAAAAAAAGTTGTAACATCAACAAGCATTAATTTCAATGAAAGGTTATAACCTTCATCCTTGAAAGAGCTGCAAGTCTGCCATTGTTCTGTATCTTCCTGCTGCTCATGCAAAGGGAGCTCAAAAGGTAGATACCTTTTCTGTTCTCTGCTTGGAGAATTTGATGTGTAACCCTGATAGGGCTAACGGCAGTTGTGTGTCTGATTTCACATTCAACCTGCTGAATATTTACCCCCCACAGAGTCCATGAAAACAAAGCAAACAAGAAAAGCTACAGAAATCTATGTGGAATATTAACAACTAAGCCAAACTTTTCAAAGAGACTGAGGGAAAAATAAATGGAAGGGCAAATGTAACTTATGAAGCAATGTCAAGTTGTAGTTCAAAAAGGAAACATCAAAACCACGTGCAAAGACTGAGATTTCAATGTCACAGATTTCCTGCAACACTTGAGCTTATTCATTGCTTTCTTTCAAAAATATAGAAACTTGGAATGGAAGCAAAGCCTTGACATCCCACACTCAAAAAAGAGATGGGGCAGGGCAGGGAGAGTCTTGAGAGGATTTTGCAAACACCTTGCAAAGTTCTAACTAACGACTTCCATGGGCTCATTTTGTCTCTTCCAACAGGCTTATGGAAGTTAAGGTGCTTGACAAGAATGCTCACTGGTAGTTATTTGTGCTGGTCAAGGTGAAATCACACACTAATTCAGCCGATGTAAGACATCATCATATACTTTCTTTGTTTTTAAGTAAAATTAATTCATAGAAGACATGTGAAATGATAAAAACATATTCCTTTTGAGGTGATACCTGGACAAGGGCCCAGGATCAGGAAAAGAATATCATATTATATAAATGGCAAAGAATGAGATAATCTTACTTTTTAACATGCCAGTTGCAGATCTATAGGGCAAATGCCCACACAGTGAAGATTTCTGCTGCCACTCACTTAGACTGGATGAATCAGATCTAAGTGAGTGAATTTCTTGTATGCAGTCTGTGACTGATGAAAATTGTTTATATCTCTCCATATCTCTTCAGGTCACCTAGTTCAAAGTCTTTGGATAACAAATGGTCCACTTTAGAGCATGATGAAAACATGATTTCATATATATATGTATGTATATATACATATATATGTACATATATATACATATATATGTACATATATATACACATATATAACATATATATATATGTTGGCTAATGCATATGGGTCTAAGGTATTTATTACTTAGTATCTAGTTTTAACTACCTTTTATGATTCCATTTATAAATAGTAACTCTTAAGTAAGACCTGAACAGGTTGGTATAGCACTAGTATTTCAGAAACCAAGTTGTATTTAAATGCCTTTTTGGGTAATATATGTAGATCCCACGTATTAAACAGAATGAATCACATCCACGTATTAAACCATCTATTTTCATGTTCTTTCAAGATTTGAAACAGAAGAATTCCTTCTCTGTAACATCTCATCTTGTTCTCAAGCTACAAATTCAAATATAAGGTTAAATGATTATGTAGGATTTGACCTTGTGACACCATTAGTCTCTTGGATAGATGAACAATCTTTTCATTTCAATCTTTTATAAAATAACTGCCAGAAATTACCTAAATCTTTGTGTATTCCAGCCAATGGAATCATGTAAGCATCATATCCAATAAGAATTTATACTGCTGATGGATTGAATTTGAACTCAGTGGCCAAACAATTCTCAAATCTACATCTCAACCTAGATCTCTGATTCTCCAAAACCAAAAATTTCTAATAAGAAGAAATGCCATCATGAGCCTTAGAACTTAGAAATTTAAAAATGTAAAAGAAAGCATATGCTGGGGAAAAGCATTTAAATCCCTATTGCAAAGATGATCCAGTGGCCATTCGAAATTATTTCTGGTTACTTACATAGTCTTGGAGAAGATGAATCAGCTCCAGGGAATACAGAGGTTTAACTAATAATATTGCTTAAAAAGTTTATTAGTAGTGGGTTTTATAAACCTGAAGATAATCACTTGGATTCAATTTACCACCTGGATATGGATATGGATATAAATATGGATAGCTGCTTCCCAAATCCTTATCTCCAGACTGGAAGTTTGGATTGTTCACAGAATCACTGATATATTCTCATTATCTTCACCTTGAAACCAAATGTTCCCAGCACTAGCACTTGAACTATTTACTTTCAAACCTTACTGTAGAGGGTATTCCAACTTATCCTTATAGTCTCCTCTGAAACCCCTGACTTCCCATTTGCAGAAGTCACTGAATGGAAAGACCAGCTTAACCAGCAATACTTATACTGTGTCCCGAGGTAGGGTCCAAATTTGATCTTTGTTCAGCGTTTATCATCTCCCATCCTCTGACTTCAGGCTCTCGTCCACTCAACACATGGCGGCAGGAAAGCATCCTACTATGGGGGGTTTCAAATTCAATTCTGCAAAGCTTTGAGGTCCCTTGGGAGGTATTTTCTTCAACTAGAGAAGGCTTGCTTTGTTTTAAACATAGAGAATTTGATGTAAAAAAAAAAAGGAACTTGATGATTAAACAACACATGCACTTTGAAAAATACTACACTGAAGCCATCTAAATCTTGTCTTGGATTTGGAGCCTGGAGATTGTCAGCACAGAGCCTGACGCGGGGCTCGAACTCACACACCGCGAGATCATGACCTGAGCCGAAGTTGGACGCTCAACCGACTGAGCCACCCAGGTGCCCCTTGAGACTGTATCTTGAACTAACTGAATTCTTGGGTCTCCCAGGTTCTCTGTTAATTTGTGCTTCACTCAGACACCCCTACTTAGGGTCTCTTCACCTCTGTACTGTACTTTTGCTTCTGGAAATGACAATATCATCAGGCCAAGCCTCTCAAAGGTAACAATGATAAACTCTATACAAAAGATAAAAGCTGACTATGTGAAGGCAGCCAAGAGCAAGCATATTTCTATTAATAGGTATTCACTAATAAATACAACAGATGTGACTGGAGGAATTAAGTCTCTGTGTGAGATAATGGACAAAATTTATGAATGTGTTTTGCACACTGTAAATGTTATACATACCAAGAGAACATTACCACCATTTCATATTTTTAGGCTAATATTTAAAGTACTCTGCCATCTTGTTCTACCCAGTTCTCTTACTTTCTCTCCAACTATGCCCAGAAAATACATAGCTGCCATCAAATAAGGGTCTTCTTTATCCTCAAGTCCAATAAGTCAGTTCTTCCTTGTATCTTTGTTCTTATCATTTTTTCTTCTTGGAATATTTCTCTCCCCTCCATCCCTAACCTGTTTTTACTCTGAAGAAACAGCTCCTCCATGAGGCCTTCCCTGATCGG